GAACTAAGATAGTAGTGCTGTATCTCACATATGGAACAGGTCCACAGCATATAAGTTTTCAAATAATAGTGAGATTGTCTGGGATAAAAGGTGTAATAAACACAAAGTATAACCTGCAGCCACTGCACAAACACAGAATTGTCCTCAGAGTACCTTTATACACCTTGCCAACCTCTGTATGCTATGGTGCATATCCACCATTACCCATAAGGGCATACCACTCACCATGATTATAGAATAAGATAAAGTGACCACACTATCTCCCAGAGACAGAGTAATTTTCCATTACCTCTCTTAATTCCAAGCTCCTCAAGCTTCATTTTTTATTCCAAGATTGAACACAGTTTTCTAGGATAATTCACAGTGGATACACATATCGCCCAATGCCCTAACAATGTCATGCAGTGGGCAGACCTTAAAGCCCTTGCACATTTCTGAAGTCTTTAAAGAAATTAAACAGCACCATTTATTAGACACTGACGGTCAAATCTGAATTTGGCTGTGCTGAATTCCTTCACTTCCTTCTTGGTTTCTCTTAATCAAAAGCTGAAAAGCTTCAGTGTCAAGTACCAAAGTCATCTTATTACCTGTTTCAATATTTTAAGTCTGTGCTATCAATTCTGGGATATCAAGGGAACATTTCATGCAAATATGGGCACAATAAAGAACAGAAACGGTAAGGACCTAACAGAAGATGAGATTAAGAAGAGGTGGCAAGAATACACAGAATAACTGTACTTTATAACAGCTAACTGTTAATAACCCAGATAACCACGATGGTATGGTCACTCAACTAGAGCCAGACATCATGGAGTGTAAAGTCAAGTGGCGCTTAGGAAGCATTACTACAAACAAAGCTAGTGGAGGTGATGGAATTCCAGCTGAGCTATTTCAAATCCTAAAAGATGATGCTGTTAAAGTGCTGCACTCAGTATGTCAGCAAATTTGGAAAACTCAACAGTGGCCACAGGACTGGAAAAGGTCAGTTTTCATTCCAGTCCCAAAGAAAGGAAATGCCAAAGAATGCTCAGACTACCACACAATTGCATTCATTTCACATGCAAAGAGTCAGACACAGCTAAGCAACTAAGCACACAGCATATGCTATCAAGATAATGCTCGACATCCGTCAAGCCAGACTTCAGCAGGACGTGAACTGAGAACTTCCAGATGTACAAGCTGGACTTAGAAAAGGCAGAGGAACCAGAGATCAAATTGCCAATACCCATTTGATCACAAGAAAACAAAGGGAATTCCGAAAAAAACATTTATTTCTGCTTCATTGACTATCAAAAGCCTTTGACTATGTGGATCACAACAAACTATGGAAAATTCTTTTTTTTTTTCATTTATTTTTATTAGTTGGAGGCTAATTACTTTACAATATTGTAGTGGTATTTGTCATACATTGACATGAATCAGCNTTTTTCCTCCCAGTTAGGTTGCCCTCCGAGATTCGAAAACTTCCCCCAGACCCGCCAGTGCGAGGGTTTCCTGGTGTTTGGAAACTTCCTCTATTAAGACTCCCTTCCAGGGACGGGTCTCTGTCCCTAGCTCTTTTGTCTCTCTTTTTATCTTTTATATTTTGTCCTACCTCCCCTCGAAGACAATGGGTTGCTTTTCTGGGCGCCTGATGTCCTCTGCTAGCGATCAGAAGTTGTTTTGTGAAATTTGCTCAGCGTTCAATTGTTCTTTTGATGAATTTGTAGGGGAGAAAGTGGTCTCCCCGTCCTATTCCTCCACCATCTTGGCTCCTCCCTTGTACATGACTATTGATAAAACTATAGCTTTGACTATACAGCCCTTTGTCGGCAAAGTGATGTCTTTGGTTTTTAATACACTGTCTAGGTTTGTCACAGCTTTCCTTCCAACTGGAAAATTCTTAAAGAGATGTGAACACCAGACCGCCTTAGCTTCCTTCTGAGAAACCTGTATGCAGGTCAACAAGCAACAGTTAGAACCGGATGTGGAGCAAGGGATGGGTTCAAAACTGGGAAAGGAATACATCAAGGCTGTATATTGTCACCCTGCTTATTTAACTTACATGCAGAGTACGTCATGTGAAATGCAATGCTGGATGTGTCACACGCTGGAATCAAGATTGCTGGGAGAAATATCAACAACCTCAGGTATGCAGATGATACTACTCTCATAGCAGGAACTGAAGAGAAACTAAACAGCCTCTTGATGAAGGTGAAAGAGGAAAGTGAAAAAGCTGGCTTAAAACTCAATATTCAAAAAACTAAGATCATGGCATCCAGTCCCATTACTTCATGGCAAATAGATGGGGAAACAAAGGAAACAGTGACAGACTATTTTATTGGGCTCCAAAATCACTGTGGACAGTGATTGCAGCCATGAAATTAAAGGACGCTTGCTCCTTGGAAGAAAAGTTATGACAAACCTAGACAGTGTATTAAAAAGCAGAGACATTACTTTGCAAACAAAAATCCTTCTAGTTAAAGCTATGTTTTTTTCCAGTAGTCATGTACAGATGTGAGAGTTGGACCATAAAGAAGGCTGAGCACTGAAGAACTGATACTTTTGAACTGTGGTGCTGGAGAAGACTCTTGAGAGTCCCTTGGAAGGAAGGAGATCAAACCTGTCAATCCGAAAGGAAATTAGCCCCGAATATTCTTTGGAAGGACTGATGCTGAAGCTGAAGCTCCAGTACCTTGGCCACTTAATGCAAGAAGCACTCACTAGAAAAGATCCTGATGCTGGGAAAGACTGAAGGCAGGAGGACAAGGGGATGACAGAGGATGAGATGGTTGGATGGCATCACCATATCAATGGACATGAGTTTGAGCAAACTCTGGGAAATACTGAAGGACAGAGAAGCCTGGTATGCTGCAGTCCACGGGGTCACAAAGAGTAGGACATGAGTTAACTGAACAACAAATCTATTCTGCAGGGTACACAGGGAAATTGTTAGTAGTGGGAAATCACAGTATTAAAACTGTGAGTTCAGGCTCAAGATCAGATGCAGCCCACCTCTCTCACCACAAGAATATGCTTCCACTGTTAACTTCAGAGGTCCTGTGGTTAGTGGGTAGCTTTTAAAGGTACAGGCATATGTATGCATTTATGTAATATATGCAAGTATTTATGGGGGAAAAAAAGGGAGAATTTCCTACCAACATCCTACTTCATATAGAATAAAGCTTAACTCTATATATGTGAAACAGTGAAGGGACTGGAATTGTGTTTGTAAGAGTGTGTGTGTGTGTGGATGTGGGTATTATGTAATTTAAAAATAACACATAAAATGATGATATTTGAACAAAATGTATAATTTGTATTACAATTCAGTTCAATCATAATATAGAAGAAAATGGTGTTTTAGTTTTGATTCCACTGTCCAAATGAACTATTTAGCCTTCAACAGAGACCATGAATTCATGACCCAACACCACAATAACACTAGGTCATGTGAAAAGGAAAGGAAGTATTTTATATAAAAGTGAGCTAGCTCTTATACCTCTTATCAAGTGTTAGTTGCACTGATGATTCTGTCAATCTTAGTTCCTTCCTCTGAAATAGCTTCCACTTCCAGACATTGCATCTTAGTGTATCAGTATCCAACTAATGTGGCTTCCAGTCCCACTACTGTCTCTGAAACAGGCAACCAGGAACTAGAAACTAGGTTCTATGAGGAACAGCTGAAGGAATGTACATAGTTTCTGTGTGGAATAAAGACCTGTCTAGAACATCGAATGTGTCTTTGTATATTTGAAGGACAGTCACATGGACGAAGATTAAAACAGACTTGAACCAGTAAAAGGAAATTATGAGAAGCCAGATTTCATTTACACAGAAATTTATGTGAATGAGTTGTTAAAATGAACAAATGTATTCAGGTAGTAAATGATAAGCATGTGATAAACAGAATCTAGACAACTATCTCTAAGCATGATTGTTGAGGCTGTTCTTGTATTGGTTGGAGAAGTTACATTATGTATATTCTCTAATTCTTCAGAATCTATAATTTTTACATTTTAGTGTGATTGCATGTAACTACTTATTTCTAAAGCAATTTCTTATATTGTAGGGCTTATTACTGATTTGACCTCCAAAATAAAATTTAAACTCATTATTAAACTGTACAGCAAAAACAGGGCCTGATTCTGCCATTAGAAAATAAATAGAAAAAGAAACTAAAATTCTTAGGCCCTTTTGAAAAATTACCTTGTGAAAGGTTAATGAACTTTCTAGCAAGACAGCACCAAGGCTACAGCATATTGTAAAATCTCTCTGATTTTACCTCCAACTTTCTGAGAAAGCAAATTTCTGGGTGATATTCAAACTCCTGCTATTTGATCATAAATTGTGTTTTGTTCTCTATTATAGAGACAAGCCTTCTTTTCCATGTGGATATTCCTTAATTTATACTGAGCATGTTTAAACTTGCAGAATCAATCTAACACCTTCAGATGAGCTAATGACCAAATAAAACAATTCCCTAGGCTTTACAAGAAAACAAATGGATTGGTCGTAAGTATGTCTCAGATACCTTCATTTTAGCTGCATGTTCTGATTATTACCAGAAAAAATTAGGACATCGGATTTTAAATCATGACTTTTTTTTCCATTTCTTTGATTTGAGTATATTTAGAAAAAAATTCAATAACATGGAACTTTATTTTGGCAAAACATGTTAGTAAAACTTCTTAGCTCGTTAACATATACAAAATTGGTTTCTTAGGAAACCAACTAAAACATGGCATGCCTGAAAATCAAGTCAATTAGATACTGATAAACTGAGGATGCCATGCTTGGAAACAATATATACTTCAGAGGAAAAAACTAAGAGTGAGGGTTAACATGTTATTGGCACCTGATAAAAGATGTAAAGTGCTAGCTCTCATTTATCTAGAATATTTCCATTTCTTTTCACATAACTTATTTTATGTATAAACATATAACATGTATTTGTAAGAAATAAATTTAAAACATGTCTGCTTATTCATCAATATCTCTTAAGACACTACTTGACAAGGTGAAAGGGATAAGTAAGTGTAAGTGAGCTTTATGGATGAATGAATTGAAAAAAGTTTATATGAACTTCATTGATTAGGAAATCTAAAACTATGTTAAAATGTTTTTGCTCTGGTTTTGTGGAGAGAATACTAATTGTATGGAGCCAAAGGACTCTACATGAATGTCTATTCTTTTCCATAATATCTTCTTTTCCCACCTTACTTCCTTCTACCAATCTCTGAACATTTAGCTGAAAAGAAACTGTTTGGAGAAAACAATTAACATGGCACAAATAGCATGGTATGTTGACTACTATGATATAATGTGGATCTCAGTATCAGGAATATTAAAATATTTCTTTTAATATCAGAGATGCTGCTATCACTTTTCCATTCGAAATCAAACAGAAGTCCTTGTTCAGAAAGTATGGCAAGAGAAAAAAGAAAAGGAAAAAGCATACATATTAGTTTGAAACATATAAAACGGTCTTTATTTACAGGTAAGGCAGATATGATTATCTTCATTCAGAGCCCCTCAAACCCTATAAATAATGAAACTGAAGGTAATTTAGTAAGGCTGCTAAATATGGGATTAAAATCCCACAAGGACATTTCTATACAACTGCAGTTAAGGAATAATTTAAAAAACCCAGAATCATTATTTAATATTCAGAAAAGTGGGCTATTTTATCTGAAGGGAGACATGAATCCTCTGTAACACATGATAAGAGGTAGATTCTAGATAAAGACCTAAGTGAGAAATATTTTTTAATATTAACTTTATAGTTTTACCTAAGCAAAAACCTTTGTAACCTGGGAATGGGGAAGAACTTCTTAAATAAAACTTTAAAATACACTGACAACACAAAATTAAGGTGGATTTAATTATGCCAAAGTTGAATTTCTGTCAGTGAAGGTCATCATGGATAAACTTAATATACAGATTATAAAATGGGATAAAACATTTATAATGTCTAAAGCAGACAGAGGATTAGTATCCTGAATACACAAGAAATTTGCAAAACTGATAAAAGGCAGAAACCTCCTTAGGAAAATGAGGAGAGAGGTTACAGAAAAGTAATCTGAAAGACTGATGAGTATTTGAAGGATCTGAAACTACTAGAGATCAAATTAAAAGCAAATTAAATTAATAAACAAGAGTTCCTAACTTCCATTCTTTGCCATTTTCCATAGTTCCAATTTTCCCCAAGCCTCATGCACTATTATAGGTATCTACACTGGCATATGGGGAAACTGTTGGCATTATTTCGTCAAATATATGACCGAGACATTCTGCTCCTGAGTCTGTATGGCAAATAAACCTTCACAAGGCCCACGTTAGGATAGTCATTAGTGTTACATGTAGTGGCAGGGGCTGGTGGTATTCTGTGCTCCAGTCAGTGAACAGCCAGATAAAGTGTGGTAAATGCAGACCTTCAGAGAACAGGATTTGGAAGTACACATAGGCACCAAGATTCATCTAAAAGTCTAGTGCTAGATGAAAAAGATAAGAAGAAACAGTGCAATAATATAATGACAGCATTTCCATAACTTAAAATATATACATAGAAAACAATAAACATGATTTAAAAATACAATGAAAGGATACAGATTAAATAAATTCAACATAATAGAAAGTAGGACATGAGGCTAAAAGGAAACAAATGAGTGTGTGGACTGGTGATGACAGTAGCAGTTAATTAAGAAATAGAACTGGAGTAACTAGCCTCACTCAAGGTTCAGAGAAGAAAAGAGGATAACAACATATATGTGAATCAATCTAACTAAAATGTGTATAAAACATCAGCGAAGAAAATTATCAAATTTTTATTATAAGACATGAGAGATTTAGAAGATCTAAATAAAAGAAAAATCATTTAGTAGATAGGGAAAGTTACTAAGGCATCAATTCTCCCCACATAGACTCATGCATTGAATAGGAACTTCTTCCCTTAATTCAACACGGTTTTCTTTTTTTTTTAATTGGAAAATAATTGCTTTACAATGTTGTGTTGGTTTCTGCCATATATCAGCATGAATCAACCATATATATACACACGCCCCCTCCCTCTAGAAGCTCCCTCCTCCCTCCCACTCCATCCCACCTCTCTAGGCTGTCACAGCACCAGGCTGAGCTCCCTGTGCTATACAGTAACTTCCCATTAGCTATCTATTTTACATAATGTATATATTTAAATGCACTCTCTAGAAATTCATCCCATCCTTGTAAAGTTTTCATGGAACTTTACAAGATGATTCTATGATTCAAAGAGTTAAAAAAAAAAAAGGTCAAGACACTCATGCAGCAAAACAAGTCTGAAGGAAAATATCAAGACTTCTTATAAGGCTTCAGTAGCTGAGATACTATAGTACTGGAGTAGAACTTGACATAAAGACCAAAGGAACCAAATAAAGACTTCAGAGAAAGACTCACAGAAATTTAAACAATGACAGATTAGCACTGTGGATCAGTGGGGAAATAATTAATTATTAAATCATGGTTGGAAAAAATTAAATAGGAAAAAAATCCCAAAGTAATTGGATCCCTACCCTATAACACAACACCCACTCCCCTCACCACCACAAAATCCAGAAAGTATTAACAACATAAATTACTTCCAAAGACCTTTAAAATATTTGAAAAATATACAGGAAAATATTTTTATGACACTGAGGATACAGAATTTCTCAAATCAGATGATACATACCAGAAAGGTGCTAAAAAATGAAAAACTATATAATTCATTTAAAGACATCATAAAGTGAAAAGACAAACAAGTGAGAGAAGACAGTTGCCATTCATATAATTAGCAAGAAAAGGAGACAGCAGAAATTTTTTAAAACTCTCAAAAATCAACAAGAAAAATGCAATTGATAGGAAAATGGACAAAATCTGAAAAGGAATTTCACAAATAAAGAAATTCAATAACTAATACATATACAAAGCTATTTTCAATCCCTGTTAATAATTAGAGAGATTGAAATTAAATCCCCAATGAGATATCATTTTATATCCACTGGAAACACTAAATGTGGTAAACAAAGTTGGTGATAGATCAGTAGTCATTTAGGAAAATGGTTTGGTTTAGGCAATCAAATTAAAAATATGTTTTTCTTAGACCCAGCTGTTTTTTACTGGCACTTGTTCTAGAGGAACTCTTATGCTCCAAGAGACATGAAAATATTTATAACAATGTTGTTATAATAACAGAAACTGTATAATTCATTTGCTCATCAACAAGAGAATAAATGGTACCATATTCACATAGTCCAAGTCTATGCCTCAACCACTGATGCCAAAGAAGCCAAAATTGACTGGTTCTATGAAGATTACATCTTCTAGAAATAACACATGCTACACATAAAGATGTCCTTTTCTTCACAGGGGATTGGAATGCAAAAGTAGGAAGTCAAGAAATATGCTGAATAACAGGTAAGTTTGGCCTTGGAGTATGAAATGAAGCAGGGGAAAGGCTAACAGAGTTTTATCAAGAGGATATACTAGTCATAGCAAATACCCTTTCTCAGCAACACAAGAAATGACTCTACACATGGCCATCACCAGATGGTCAACACTGAAATTAGATTGATTATATGTTCTTTGTAGCCAAAGATGGAGAAACTCAAAAGTCAACAAAAACAAGACCTGGCACTGACTGTGGCTCAGATCATGAGCATCTTTATTGCCAAATTCATACTTAAATTCAAGAAAGTAGGGAAAACCTCTAGGCCAATCAGGTAGGACCTAAATCAAGTCCCTGATTATACACTGGAAATGATGAATAATTCAGTGGATTAAATCTGGTAGACAGAGTGCCTGAAGAACTATGAATGGAGGTTCGTAATACTGTACATCAGACAGTGACTACAACCACCCCAAAGAAAAAGACATGCAAGAAGACAAATTGGTAGCCTGAGGAGGCTTTACAAAGACCTAAGGAAAGAGAGTGAGGCAAAAGGCAAGTGAAAAAGGGAAAGATATACCCAACTGAACGCAGTGTTCCAGAAAATAGTAAGGATAGAAAAGAAGGCCTTCTTAAATGAACAATGCAAAGAAATAGAGGAAGAGCACAGAATGGGAAAGACTAGAGATCTCTTCAAGAAAATTAGAGATATCAAGGGAACATTTCATGCAAGAATGGGTGTGATAAAGGACAGAAACGATAAGGACCAAAAGTAGAAGAGATTAAGAAAAGGTGGCAAGAATACTCAGAAGATACAAGAAAGGTCTTAATGACCTGGGTAACTACGATAGTGTGGCCACTCATCTAAGTCAGACATCAAGTGGGCCTCAGGAAGTATTACTATGCACAAAGCTAGTGGAGGTGATAGAATTTCAGCTGAGCTATTTAAAATCCTAAAAGATGATGCTGTTTAAGTGCTGCACTTGATATGCCAGCCAATTGAAATCCATGGCTAATTCATGTCAATGTATGACAAACACCACTACAATATTGTAAAGTAATTAGCCTCCAACTAATAAAAATAAATGAAAAAAAACCACTAAAAAAAAAAAAAAAAAAAACAGCAATGGCCACAGGACTGGAAAAGATGTTTTCATTTCAATCCTAAAGAAGGACAATGCCAAAGAATGTTCAAACTACCATACAATTGTGCTCATTTCACATACTTCAAGGTTATGTTCAAAATTCTTCAAGCTAGGCTTCGGCAGTACATGAACTGAAAACATTCAGATGTACAAGCTGGGCTTCAAAGAGGTAGAGGAAACAGAGATCAAACTGCTATCATTCACTGGATCATGGAGAAAGCAAGGAAGTTCCAGAAAAAAAAAATCTACTTCTGCTTCACTGACTGTACTAAAGCCTTTGTGTGGATCAGAACTGGAAAATTCTTAAAGAAATGGGAGTACGAGAACACCTGGTCAGTCTCCTGAGAAACCTATATGGCGGGTCAAGAAGCAATAGTTAGAACCAGATATGGAACAGACTGGTTCAAAATTAGGAAAGGAATATGACAAGACTGCACATTGTCAGCCTTATTTAACTTATATGCAGAGTACATCATGTGAAATACCAGGCTGGATGAATCACAAGGTAGAATCAAGATTGCTTGAGAAATATCAATAACCTCAGATATGCAGATGACATGATCTTAATGGCAGAAAGCAAAGAGGAACTAAAGAGCCCTTGATGAAGGTGAAAGAGGTCAGTGAAAAAGATGGCTTGAAGCACAACATTAAAAAGCTAACACCATGGCATCCAGTACCATCACTTTATGGTAAATAGATGGGGGAAAAGTGGAAGCAGTGATAGATTTTATTTTGGGGGGCTCCAAAACCACTGTGGATGGTGACTGCAGCCATGAAATTAAAAGATGCTTGTTCCTTGGAAGGGAAGCTATGTACAACTAACCTAGAGAGCATATTAAAAAGTAGAGACACCACGTTGCTGACAAAGATATGTATGGTCAAAGTTAATGGGTTTTCCAGTAGTCAGGTAGGGATGTGAGAGTTGGGCCACAAAGAAGGCTGAGCAGTAAAGAATTGATGCTTTTGAACTTTGGTATTGGAGAAGGTCCTTGAGAGTCCCTTGGACTGCAAGGAGATCAAACCAGTCAATTCTAAAGGAAATCAACTGTGACGCTCCAATACTTTGGCCACCTGATGCAAAGAGCTGACTAACTGGAAAAGACCTGATGCTGGGGAAGACTGAAGGCAAACGAGAAGGAGGTAGCAGGGGTTGAGATGGTTAGATAGCACAACTGACTCAATGGACATGAATTTGAGCATATTCTGGGAGATAATATAGGACAGAGGAGCTTCATGTGCTATAGTCCATGGGCTTCAAAGAGCTGGACATGACTTTAGTGACTGAACAACCAAACATATTCACATAACAGGCTACAGTATAGGAGTAAGAATAAATGAATGTGGCTACACTCAGTGAAACATAATGCTGAGTGACAAAGCAAATACAGAATACATACATTGTTATCCCTGCAAAAGTTCAAAGACAAGCAAAATTAAGTAACATTCATTATATGTATGTATACTTAAATGTATAAAGAAATGATTAATAGAAAATTCACAGCAAGAAGGAAGCAAACAAAAAGTACAGAAGGAGAGAAGGTGCTTCAGTAATACTGGTAATTGAGTCTGGTTTGTATTTAAAATCCTATGTGTGGTTTTTCAGGCTTGACTGTAGGCAATTATAGAGGCCTCACTCAGTCAGTAAAGAATCTGCCTGCAATGCGGGAGACCTGAGTTTGCTCCCTGGGTTGAGAAGATCCCCTGGAGGAGGGCATGGCAACCCACTCCAGGATTCTTGCCTGGAGAATCCCCATGGACAGAAGAGCCTGGCAGGCTGCAGTCCACGGGGCAGCAAGAACACTAAATGACTCATCCCACTAAGCACATGGTGGGTGCCTTTGCCCCACCAGACTTGGTGTACAGCCAGTGCACTACAATCTCTCTTGAAGGAGCTGCAATCAGGGTCTCAGGACTCCTGCCTGTGATGCTCTTTCACATATTTACA